TTTATCTAGTGCTAATTCCATTTTGTTTTCAGTTACCCACTGCTGAATTTTGTCCAGATCTTCTTGAATTTCAATTGATGTTTTTTTGATGGAAAGTAGTTTAAGATCATCCGCAAAAATATATGGTTCAGAGAATTTGAGTACTTCAGGTAGGTCGTTAATAAAAATGCAAAAGAGCAGTGGTCCTAAAAGTGATCCTTGGGGAACACCACTAGTGACTTCTAAAACTTTTGAGCTGATATTGTCTACTCGTACAAACTGTTTCCTGTTTTTCAAATAGTCATAGAGTACCTCTAACATGCAGCCTCCTATTCCTATAAGTGCAACTTTCTTGAGTAGATCAAAATGCGGAACTTTATCAAAGGCTTTTGCAAAGTCAGTGTAGACTGCTACAATTTCTGCGTTTGAGTCATTGTCAAGCGCTTCATATATTTCTTTCAGGAAGGAGAGCATGTTTGTCAAAACTGATCTACCTTTAGTAAAACCGTGTTGATGTTTCGTCAAATACCAGGCAAAGTAAGGGTACAGGTCTTTGTATATACATTTTTCAAGGACTTTGCTGTCAATATTTAATAGCGATACTGGTCGATAGTTGTTCACCAATTTTCGGTCACCTTTTTTGTGAACAGGAGTAACTGCAGCTGTTTTCCATGAATCAGGTATTTTTCGTAGGCGTTTTACGTTTCTCAAAATTTTGTTCATCGGTTTGCATATATTGCGGTTCGTTTTCTGAAAAAAGCTAGGTGGCAACCCATTTGGGCCGCGTGACTTTGTTACGTCCAGAGTTGATAAAATCTCACTTACTGTCTTTTTCGATATATCAAAATTCGTTAACAAGGGATTTCCAAATTGAATATCTCTAATACTAAAACTTTCTTTAGGATTAAAAACTGAATGAAAGAAGTCGTTTAGCATGTTGACTTGTTCGTTTGGATTTGTGCTTTCAACTTCATCTTTTATGAGTAACTTAGGAAGACTTGTATGTTTATTCAAGTTCTTTAGGTGTTTAAAAATTACATTAGTGTTCCGTGTTCTAAACAATTCCTCTTGGTAGTTTTTCCTGTCCACTTCCGATGATTCAGTTACTAAATTTTCAAACAGTTTAACTTGTTGTCTTCTGTAGTTGGTCGGTTTGAGTATACATGATTGCCGTTTTGTTTGTAACTTTTTGATCAAATTTGAAGTGCTACTTGTTATCCAAGGTGGAAGTGATTGCCTATGTCTTGTTCTGAGAGGCACAAAACTCTTAATGATTTCATCCAAATATTGGGTGTACTCCTCATGCATTTTGTTAATGTTTGTGTGGCATACTGGTTCAAATGGGTTCTCGTTTATAAAATTGTTTATTCCTTCAAAATCGGCATTTCCAAAACTTCTAAAATTTTCCAAGTATGGTTTCGGCTCTGATACCGTGCATTCAATAGACAACATTATGGCATTGTGATCTGAGCAGTCATAAATCTTGGAAACGTTAAAATCTTGTTCGGCACTTGTATAGCAATTCCGATAGAAGGCTACGTCTAGTATGTTCTTCACACATGTTGGGAAATCTATCGCCTGCCTAAAGAGTCCATTTTCAAAAATTTGCAGTATTTGGTTTTCTTCCTCATCAGTACTGGTGAGGGTGTTCCAGTTTGTTTCTGGGAAATTTAAATCCCCACATAAGAGAAACGGTTTGTTTTTAGGAATGGCTTTGATCAGTTGTTCAAATTCATGCACTTTGTATCTGTAATTACTGTTTTTTGGCGGATTGTAGAATGAGCCAATTATCATTTCAGTTTGATGAAGTTTTATACTACATAGCACACATGAATCAGGAATGTCATGTTTGGTGGATAAGTCCTCGGTAATTAGACTATTCTTGACAGCTATTAGGCTGCCTCCGTGACAGTTTTTACCACTCACAATAGCTCTATCAGATCTATAGATGTTATATTCACTTAGAAAAAGCTCTGATGATTGAATATTCTCGTTAAGCCAAGTTTCGCTTAAGCATATGACATTAAAATTTCCAACTGCAATTGCATTTGCTAGCTTAGTTCTTCTCTCTATGTTGATTAGGCTTCTAGTATTTAGTTGCAGAATGTTGAGGAATCCTAGTCAATGCTGGGGTTCCTGAACTTCAGTGTCAATAGTTACTTTCACACCATCATTGAACAATTCTAGATTCCTTATTTTCAGCTTTTCGCGAGGAACGCCTTCATCTAGTAGTTGTCTTCGTTTCTTAAGGATTTCGTTCTCTTTAATTGCACTCTCTTTGGTCAATGCTGGTAGCAGGTAGACCTCTTTTTCGACCAATTGTTCTCGCTTTTCTCGGCTTTTTGCTAGTACTAGTCGTGCTTCATGTTCGCTAGGTACAGTTACCAGCAGTGTTCTTGGCTTCATTCGATTACGATCAAATTTTCCCAGTCGTTTTAGTTCTATTATTTTCGGCTTCACTCCAATTATGTCTAGTATTTCGTTTACTTCGTCATTTGTTGGGACAAGGTTTTCTCCTTTTGTTTTCTCAGGGTCCTCTTTGACCCCTTGTATCCTAAAACTTTGATTTATGTTGTGATCAGAGTTAGATCTGGCAGCATGTTGAGTGGTTTGAGCTTGATTTATCCGGGTGGTGGTTTCAGCAGCTACAACGGCACTATAAGTTTTTTCCACTTTATCGCATGTCGTTTTCATTGCATTTCCAATTTTTTGATCTACTAAATCGGTAAGTCTTCTTTCCATGCTTTTAAGGCTTTCAGTTACATCAATGTTTGAGAGCTTCTCGTCTATGTTGGCCAGGGTTTTGCATCTTATAAAGTTGTCTCGTTCATTATTTTGCACACAAGTATTACAAAGCAACATGACATTCGGCCCTAGTTCTTTTATTCCATTTATGGCCACTAGAGACAACCCAACACAAGTTGGTTCCAAATGCATTTGAGCGTTGCATGCGACACAAGTGTATGTTTTCTCGTTGCTGGCAAAGCCTCTTTTACATGTTTTGCAGTTTTTGCCCATTTTTGCTTATACTATGGATAGAAAAACAGTTAAGCCTGGTGGTTCCCGAAAAGGGGAGGCCTGTGGCTCACTCAGGGGAAAAGAAGAAATAGACAAACCTGGTGGTTCCCGAAAAGGGGAGGCCTGCGGTTCACTATTTCTACTTACGTTAATAGGGGCACTGACAGTTCTTGAAACGACACTCGTAATATACCAGATGTCCTTCTGTATTGCAGATGTTCGAATGTTTATCGTATAAGATTTTATTCTTGAGAATACTTTTAATGCCCTTCAGACCTTCTTCACTGAGGTGCACTTCGTCAGTTTTCAAATGATATGAGCTGTGGATTTTTTCACTCACTCCTCTAAACTTCCAAGTTCCTTTTATCTTTCTTAGGAATTCGTTTATTTTTGCAGATCGAGCTCGGTTCTCACTACGATGAGGGATTCCGATGACGAAAACTTTTTTGGCTCGTTCACACAGCTCCTCGGCTAGCTTCGACAGTTCTTCAGCAATGTCGCCTGCAGGTATACTGGAGGGGTCTTTTCCGTTGAAGGCGTCGTTTCCGCCGATGAGCAGAGCGATGATGTTGAATTTGTCTTTCTCGGGTAAGAAGTTTTGGACCGCACCAATTCGGGCCCCAGGTAGGGACAAGATATTGAAATTTGGAAAATCAAGATGGCGTGCTTGAGAATCCGCAATCAGGAGATTTTTTGAAGATGATGTCTTGAGCAAGTGATATCTTCTGTCGGACAATTTCATCGCGGGGCAACCATTGCTACCCCGGTAAACATTTCAACTATCTGAAACTATTTAATAAGTTTATCACAACAATTAGGCTATTAAGTAAAGATATTTGACCTCCCTATTTAATTTGGCTTGAAGTCTCTTAGCAATGCGTTACAAATTCTTGACTCCGATTGGCTGAAAATTCCTGAGTACAACTAAGTTACCATCATCTCCCCTGCAGATCTTGGGCGTAGAGAAGTTAATTTGATCCGTTTTCTTCAGTTCGGAGAATTTGATTAAAATAGAAACTGATCGTTTGAACAATTGCGGTAAGAGTTCAGATTAGTGTGATAAAAAAAAGGATATTCTTAGTATTAGAACAAATTCAGGAATCATCGACGAAGTTTTCATTCGGTGAGACGTTAAACGTTTTAACAGTTCTTTTAGATGGGAACGTAGCAAAAAGTAGACGAGTCATGAAGTAGACACGGCATTTAGTAGACAACTACTGTATTAACCAATCAGAATTGAGAGCAAGAAGCAAACCTAGGAAATAAATAATAATTATTTATTTATTTCCTGAGTTTGCTTTTGTTCTCAATTCTGATTGGTTCATATAGTATTTGTCTACTTTTTGACCGATATGAAATAAGGTTGTCCATTTTTCTCCAACTCCCTCTAGATGCTATTTGGGGAAACTTTTAAAAAGGTGCTAGATATAAAAGACGACATGACCATTTGGCGATAAATGAGAGTTAAAGCATGTATAGTGAACTGATCGAATTCAAGCGAGTTATATTTCTCAGAAGTACAATTGGCGAATTAGTGTGTGGCGTCGTCTTAAATTCATCCCCAAAAACACTTGTCGTCTTAACAGCTGGCAAGTTATTTACTGTACTCCATTTAAAATGTCTTAGGTTTTAGGCTCTTTTCTAAACTGGCATCCTAGAATGGTCTATATGGTTACATGTCAGTATTTAGACAGCCGCGTATTCATACTGGTCAGTATTTAGACAAATACTGTTTCAACCAATCAGAATCGAGACAAAGAAGAAATTAATAAATAATTATTATTAATTTTGGATTATTTATGTTTTTTTCTCGATTCTGATTGGTTCATACAGTATTTGTCTAAATACTGACCAGTATGAATACGCGGCTGTCTAAATACTGGCTGCACTCCGGTCTATATCAGTTAGAATCTTTATGCTTTTTGAAGTCGTGATGAAAACTAGTCTTGTCTTTGTGCGTATAGAGAAGTTGAAGGTTGCGGCAAAGCTGAGTTTTTTAGGTTAAATGAATTTATGGACTAATTGGAGCCTAAGTGATTCTTAGTTATGAGGAGGAATGAAAGCAACAAGCGCATCCATGGCCTACCAGAGTGCAGGATGGAGAAGTGTCACTTTGGGGTCATGGGGTCACAAGAGGTCATTGGGATGAGTGTGCTGAGCATCACAAACATGGCGTCTTTCGATACTATGAACACTCCCACTGAAAACGGTCAGCTTCTTCACTTATTATTCCCGCACATCGGAGGTTAAGTTTTGACAAAGAATTACAAAATGTTATTCCACCTGAAACATTACTTACGAAATGGCTCACAACTATACTGTAAATAGCGCAACTTCCATACTCATAGAGAAGTTAAGGGAAACAGTTAAAATCGACCATAACAACAAGGCGAGAAAGAGACATAGACTATGCAATTTGGTCTTAGAAAGGTCATTTTTTTAGTAATTCCTGTGACCTTTTGTATGCGAAGAGTGATTGAAACATGTTCATTTGAAAAAAAAAAATTATTAAAAACAGACAGAATGTCTTCAGTGACTTCAATGATTAAAAAACTTCAATGTCCTCGGTCCATACGTTTTCTAACCTAAATAAACAATATTTCTGATCAAATCGAGTACTCGCAAATAAATTTGTTTGCCGATGACACTGATATAACATAAAACATAGGGAAAAATTCCACTCAAGTTTCAGCGAAGACTTAAATACGTTATGTAATTGTATCACTGCTAATAAGCTGTCAAGAAATAGCCATAAAAGAAAAAGTATCATTTTTGGTACTTACAAAAACACAACTAGCATCACCAATTTCGGAAATAATTATTCAGATCAAATTTCTTCGTATACCTACTTTGGTTTCGTTATTGATTGAAATTTAAATTTCAAAGAGCATGTCCATGTTCAGAAAAAGTTAGCCAAAAGCGCTTGGACTCTGTATACACTGGGAAAATTTTAAACAAGGAAGCAACCATTTGAAATTTAGAACACCTATGCAAGGCCTGTATTCGAATATGGGGCACTTTATATAGGCACTGCACACAAAACTGTTATTGAAGACTTGGAGAAATACCACCGCTGTCTATGGAGACCATGCTTGAATCTAAGAAAATTTGACCGTATGTGTATGTATGAGACACAATGCGAGCGGAATATACTAGCAACGATAGAGGTTCACCTAAAACAGCTGATAAGCGTTTTAGAAGAAATAATCGAGGTGACTCAATTGATGACTTGAAGTCAGATATAACCAAAACTGAAAAAGAAAAGTCACTTAGTAGAGAAAACAGAATAAGGGTTATCAAATCAAAAGTTACAAAAGTAGAAGAACTGTTGAGTTGCCTGAAACACAGTAAGATTGTTGTTGATTGCCATTATTAAGCTTCAGAAAAAATAATTCAAAATCTGGTTGATAAAAATGAGAAACTCTCCTAAAAATCAAACATTCCCAAATTGGTTGTTTTTTTTAGCAAGTTAATCAAATCGATACTACATTTAAATCCGTGTGATACATATCTTGCTGTTTAAGCGTTTTTTTACAATGGTTAAGTGCATAATGTATCTGTGCATCCTTAAACTATTTCGTATATTGCAATGCTAAAATTTTTGTTTGATTTTCCAGTTTATGAATGCTAAGCCAATTGGAAGTCCCGAATGTAAAGCTGTAGTTAAGATGCCAGCATGGGAGGAAAGGGGAGGGGCAGTTTTTCATCCATTTATACAAAATGTAACGGGGGTATTTCGTTTCAGCGTGTTTTTAACCAAATTTTAAATTAGCATCCTAATAGTGATGTGCTGTCGTGGGCTGTGAAATATGAACACTGACAATTTTTGTGATTTTTCGAAAGTATGACTCCGAGTACGACTGCTAAGCAATGTCTTCAAGTATGATTGCTAAGCACAGCCTGCTAGCTTCCGAGATATGTCGTTATTCCTAATTTTTTTTAAATTTCACGAGAGTTATCTTCAAAAAACTTTCAACTCTGTAATATGGTGCTATTGTAGAATTTTTAGGGCCTGCAATTTTTGCCTCCAAATGGGGTTGCTCTGGTCCTCTCAGTTTTCGTGATAACGTTTTTTGATTTTTTTAAAAAAAAATTTCAAAATTTAAGTTTAATTAACTTCACGACATGTGAAACTTTCAACCCTATATTTGGGTGCTGTCAGTCTCAGGTGTTGCAAATCTAGCCTGCAAATGTGACTGCTCAAAACTTTGTAGTTTTCGTGACATGCCGTTATCAATTTCACTTAAAAAAATCTATGGTGGGTTGCTGTCACGGTACTCACAAGAGGTTTATATCTGGCCTCCAAATGACTGCTCAGCGCCTTTTAAGTTTCGAGATGTGGCGTTCTTATGATTTTGAAAAATTTCAAAAGCGTATGTTAAAAAATATTGCAATTGTTCACCCTTTTAGTGGGTAAGGTCAGTTTACTGCCATCAGTTGTATTTATGGCCTCCGTACGTATAATAGCGTAAATTCTCCTAGATATCGAGATACGAAGTTGTTTTTTGATAATTCTATTTGTTTCAAAATTTGAATTTTTTTACTCTAGGACGGAAAGATGTTAAGTTACTCGCAGGGGTTGCAGATTTCGTCTCCCAATTTGGCTGCTCAGATACTTTCCTTTTTTTCTAAATTTGACGTGTTTTTTCATCAATACTTATCAAAAAAAGATCTTTCTCAGTTTGCTCACGATTGTTCAATTCATTAAATTCGTCGAGATATGACAGTTTTTTAATAATTTTTTTTTTCAAAAATTTCAATAAACAAGTTTTTTTGAAATTCTGAAGTTTTTTTTAGTAATTAAGCTGGATTGAACGATTGATGGCGAAAAGTCGAGTGGAAGAGGGTGGTTGAGCATGTACATGTTCAGAAAAAGTTAGCCAAAAGCGCTTGGACTCTGTATACACTGGGAAAATTTTAAACAAGGAAGCAACCATTTGAAATTTAGAACACCTATGCAAGGCCTGTATTCGAATATGGGGCACTTTATATAGGCACTGCACACAAAACTGTTATTGAAGACTTGGAGAAATACCACCGCTGTCTATGGAGACCATGCTTGAATCTAAGAAAATTTGACCGTATGTGTATGTATGAGACACAATGCGAGCGGAATATACTAGCAACGATAGAGGTTCACCTAAAACAGCTGATAAGCGTTTTAGAAGAAATAATCGAGGTGACTCAATTGATGACTTGAAGTCAGATATAACCAAAACTGAAAAAGAAAAGTCACTTAGTAGAGAAAACAGAATAAGGGTTCTCAAATCAAAAGTTACAAAAGTAGAAGAACTGTTGAGTTGCCTGAAACACAGTAAGATTGTTGTTGATTGCCATTATTAAGCTTCAGAAAAAATAATTCAAAATCTGGTTGATAAAAATGAGAAACTCTCCTAAAAATCTCTCGGTTACTATCTTGTTCGATAATATATTCTTTGAAAACCTTTTGTGGTTGATACTTTATAATTCGTATTTTCTAAGTACTTAGTTGAAGTAGTCTAAATGCTGGTAGTGAAATTTTCATTTTTTTTGTGGTTTTCACCGATTTTTTTTCCTTTTCAATTTAGTCGATATTATCATTGGTAATACATTGCCTCGTGTAATACAATGATTTTTTTAAAATTGTTTTTTGTCTGTCAACAATTTTTAAACGAATCTCTTTTTTTCTAAAAATATGGTTTTGATTAGTGAAGAATTTTGATCTCTTTATGGGGATTAGAATCAGGTCACAAGACCTGATAATCTTCTACTATTTGTTTCAGATAATGTAAACGAGTAAATACTATTGTTTGTTTTACTCGAATCAAATAGGAATTTACTATCACTAATTTGCCTTGCAGGTCTCTACGACAGACGTCTGGGGTCTCTGGAGCTGGACATCAACTGCCAGACTTGTGGCCAAGGCTATGTGCAGTGCAGTGGACACATGGGACACATTGAGATGCCAGTGCCAGTCTATAACCCGTGCTACTTCACAGTAAGCACAAACTCTCTCCCCTTTTAAACCTTTCAAAACAATATTCGGGCACTTTCCTCCGCAGTTTTTTTTTTCATTTTCATAGTTTTGCATGACAGTATGGCTCAAAGTATGGTAATGTCCTGATTTTTCCTCATAAGGTATGAGGAAAGTTGAGACTTGTTCAGGAATTCAACCACCTTACCGCTAAAAGGTAAACTCGCTTGTTCTTGTTGACTTAATACGTAATAGGGGGAACAAGCGCAAATAAAACGCGTACTAATTACCTGTTGCGTATTAAACAGTCCGTAAAAACGGTACTATTTTTTTTTCTAATGGCAGATTCGGTGCCAATGTCACCAATTGTGAGCGAAGTAGACTGCATTTTTTGAACTTAAGCTTCAAAATGGTGCCTAGAATGGATCGAATGGATGGGCCCAGAGGCCATCCTAGGCCCTTCCTTTATTGATGACAAAAAAGTATTAATGAAGAAAACTCAAGCGCATAAAATTTACTAAAACGAATCAATATGAGAGCAATCAAGAGAGGGAAACAGCGGATTTAATTCAAAGGGCGGAACCAAATAAAAGCGGCCAAAAACAATTTTTGTGCTGTTAATTGTGCATTTATTAAAAAATATATCCTTCATTTTAAGCTATAGGAGAGCGAATAGCGGATGCTGGTTTAGACGTGTCTCTCAAGAGGTTGATCCCCCCTGGCTACCCAAATGGTCCTTCCTTTTACGTGCCATTTTACGACATCCTTTTTCGGTCAACCTCTCCGTGTTCCCCCCATCTAATCAATAATTTTTGGTCAAAAGTTCACTAAAACGGCGTTTTTGGCTTGTTTTTCTTTCAAAAAGTTCGCCTTTATAGTGCTTAAAGAGACCGGAGTTTCAAATTGTTCGACCTAAATTGAAGTTGGAAGCAATATAATAACCTTTTAGCCGGAAATTGTGACATCAATGCAAAAGTTTTGGGCCGCAAATTGTGAAGGATGTGCTTTTTTAGGATTTGACAAAGGTGCTCAAAGCGATCTGTAGATGCTGCAATCTGCTCAACATCCCAGTAGCAAAGTGCAACTTGTTCATATGCCGCATGAAGTTGGCTTTGGCAGGACAACTGGAAGCACTTGATGAGTTGAATCAGCGCTTGAATTCGTTTCACGAGAAAACACAACTGGCAGACTTCATATTGCATTTCAAAAATAATCTCAAGGTTGAGAAACTAAACGATTTGACAGCAGCTATAATTGAGACCAGGAACAATATTCGCAATAACTTCTGGGCCGAGAGTTTCTGCAAGTCGGTGAAGCAGTGTTGCCATTGTTCAAACTATCTGCCAGTTTACAGAGCCGAAAATCATGTTTCAATTCACTGTACAGCCAGAAAGGGGTATCAAATGCCAAAAGATAAGTTAGGGGCTTCCACTGACGAACCATTGAACCCTAGCATTGCGTTCCAAATTGTGAAAGCAGCCTGGAAAATTAACCAAGAGGTTCAAAGAACGGATAATGTTTTTTTGATAGCAAATTAAACTCATAGAGAAAGTGTGGAATAGAAAATATCCAAGAAATGCAAATATACAAAGTCTTATCTAATTTAACCAAACTCTCTGAAATTGACAGAAAAATAAACCAATTTTCACACGTTTGATTTTCCTCAAGTTTTGGTAAAAAAATTCAAAATAGCAAATTATTCGAAAAATTAGTTTTTTTTTAAATATATTTATCTACTCTATCCGCTCTTGAAGGTGCTAACATTTGTGTTCGGAAGTCCGGACAGCCTTGTGAGACCTTGGGCAGATATGTTTTTCATTGAGAATCTGCCAGTTTTTCCTCCAAAACACAGACCATATCAAGTGACGAACGGGATGAAAAGCGAACATGTGCAGACTACCACGTATGTTCAGGTGAGTTCAAAATCAAGTCTATAGTTAATAAGGTCTCAAAACTGATAAATTCTTCGAAAGCTGTTTTGGTGTTCAAGTTGTTTGCCATGATTGTTTGAACACTTGTGCACTTTCTAAAGATGAAGTCCTGTCTGTGCTCTCAAACAGATGTCTTCTGGTTTTAGACTTAGATGTTGTTTCAATCGGCTCAGATGCTATACGATCATTGCTATAAGCGTGTTTTTAACATCAGTTGCAAAATAATTAGACCAATTGCCACCATACAACACTCTAATAGTTTCCTTTATCCAATTAACAATATGTTTTTCTATTAAAAAGATAGACAAATTTTTGGCAAAAGTAAATGTTCTTCCTGGCTGTTTTTTTTCGAATTTTATTGTAGTCTACTTTTATTTAGGTGCTAAAAGCGCGTCGGACAATTCTACTGTTTGTTAAGTTGATAAAAGCTGAAGAAAACGATATTGAGAATGCAAAATGTCTGAAGGATGACGAGAAAAAGTTGCTGCAATATTGTAAAGGTACCGTTAATTTTCATCTTCAATCTTCGCCATGCAAAAATGCGTGAAAAATGTCTGTAAATAGGAAACAAGTATCAGGTGTCGTCGTAATGGTTATAATGATGCATTTTAATGATGTGATGCTATTGGAATTCAAAAAACTTGTTGTCGGAAAAATGATTTTAAATTTTTTACGATCGAAATCATTTCCTGCCGAATTAATTCGAAGCTTTCTAAATTTCTCTGTCTGCTATTGGTAATGTTGATCAATTATTTTATCGGTTATGCTTCTCATTAATGGCAAATCAAATTCAGAGTTAAAGAAGAATCTGATAGGCTAAATACCTGAGTTTGATTGGTTGAAATTGATGACGTACGTCGCTAATGTATAGTCCGAACTACTCGCCCATTTTAGAAACGATTCGCTGTTATTTTGAGCGGAATAAGTAAAGAGACCCGATGCCACCCTGGCTTTATTACAGGTCAAGGCATGGACGACAAGTTCCGGTTCGCGTGGCTAGATCTGCAGCGTGGTGTGAACAACTTGGCCGACGGAACCAGAGCCATGAAGTATGAGAGAGTGAAGGGCGTGAAGGAGATGATTGAAAAGAAGCAGGGCGTGTTCCGCATGAACATGATGGGCAAACGTGTAAGTTGAGTCGCTTCTTTTTTGTAATTACACAAGGTAAGTGAAGTGCTATATTGCGCTGATACATTTTGCCCCAGACTCATACTTGGCTGATGGTCCACCGAACTTGAGTTATGTTCAGTAGCGTCCTTACACGATACAATGGTAAGCGCGCATCTGCATTGTTTTGTTTTTGACGGCTCATAGTTCATGCTGACTGCATGTTCTTCATGCGAAGTGGAATTTCTCGAATATCAATTTTTCCTTCAAACAAATTGATAGCATTTTTGATTGGTTTGATCCAGGGAAAATTGTGATACATACTCAATTGCTCATGTGACTCATGGTTTATTTTTTATTTGACATGACATAAAATATTTTTCGACTCCGTATTTCCACTAGCGTCAGCTTAGTGTATTATTAAGAACTTTCTTTTTTCTAACCCATTTCGCAAATATAGTTGTCCCAAAGGTCAAACAACATAACAATAATAAAAACTCGATTTCAAAAATTTTCTAACTCATATCTTACAATTTTTTGATACATTGTGGTTTTAGGATTTGCGATTTGTTACATGCAAAGTTAGTGTGGATGCCTTCAGTTTGTTATAATCCGAGTTATTACTTGCAAAATTGTGTCTATTTGTAGTTGGTGCCATTTATGCTGAATTACATTGGCAATTTACTATTCCGGCCATTTGAAAAATGGGGAGGAACTTTGTATTCAAGTGTTTTCGTTTTTTTTCCACGCAAAATCAGGTTTCACAAATAATTATTTGAATGGATAAAGTGATATACCATATTAAAGCTCGTCCAATCTTAATTCCAACGACATCAAAATTTTCAAACATTTTTCCAGTGTCGAGAAAACCGGTTTGAAAGTTCTGATTTTTGGCCTAGTTTCGGACTTATATTGTGTGAGCATGTAGGCTTACAATAACTTAATTGAGCGTTTTTTAAGCCGTGAAAATTTAATTGAGCTCAACTAAAGTAGTTTTTGGAATATTTTAGCGCCATTTTGTAAACAAAGGTTAAAAATTCCAAAAACTTCAGCTAAATTTCGAAACATTTTTAAAAGTTTTCTTTTTAAATTTTTTCTATAATTTTTTTCGTTGTTCTAGTCCATTTTTTCAGAAATGGTTTTTCGAATGGCCTTCTTATTATAACTGTCAATTATGCCTAAGTTATTTTTTTTGTTCAGATTTTTTTATCACACCATCCACAAATTTTTTTTGTATTCTCTAAGACTGTGGTCAGAACATTATGTGCTACTTGCACAGTAACCGGCTATCTTATTAGCATATGAATTATTCGTGAATAGTTTTTGTCGGTGGTTGAGCGTGAGTGGCTAGTGCGTGAGACTCAAAATCTCTTGATTGCAGGAAAACGCAGATCGAGTCCTAGACCTAGCCGAATGAGGCTTATTTCTATTTTTGTTATCGCACTTTGTAGAGCTGCTTTTTGCCGTGTTCTCCTTAGTGTTAGCATCTGTGTCAAAACAACGGAGTATCTTAAAGTTTTTCAGAATAAAAGAAACCACATATAATACAATTTCAGAATAAAAGACCACATATAAAACGAGAAAGTCTAAAAATATTTGTTGTGAATCAATTTGGAACAGAGGAAGCAAACTTTGGATGTACTTTATTAAAGCAGTATTTTCAAAATCTAACAAAGGAAGTGCAAAAATTTAGTACATAAGATGAAAGACTAATTTATACTAAAAAGTACAGTGCTCTTACGTTGTGTGCTAACTGCCTTATTTAGATGAAAGTTTTGCTGTAGTGTGTGCTTTGGGGGACTATCTGCTTTCTTTCAGAAAAAGGCTTGTTAGTCTTATGACTTCACGCCTCAGTGAACTCATAAATTACGAATTTTGTCAAAAAAGAGGGCGAAATGCTTTTCAATTTGATACCCGTTTTTTGTGGCCGTTTTTTTTCCTTAAAGGCAATATAGAGACAAGAACATTTTCCTAAATAAGTATTCATTTTTTGTTTTTAACTAGCGAGCGTAGCGTATTATTATGAACCTTCTTTTTTTCCAACCCAAATCGCAAATAAAAGTGCTCAATTAAGGGAAACTTTGCCATAATCACGATCTCTAGCATGAGAACTTTATTTGCATCTGTTGTCTGCTTTATTTGAGGCTAGTGTTTGATTATTGTTAAGTGCCTGTGGCTGAGAGATTAGGGCGTGAGATCTTCATCTCTAGTTGACATGTTCGAATCAGTCGTGGCAGAACTTTTTTCTAATTTCAGGCTTATTTCTTTTTTTATTTCACTTTATAGAGCTGCTTTTTTGTCGCGTTCTTGCTAGTGTTTGCGAAGCGCAGCTTCGCCTCTGTTTAAATGAATACTACTGCCTAACATAATGTTCGCCGTTCAGGGTAGGCGCTAAGTAGGGGTGTCTAACCCTTTGCCTATCCTCGATCAAATTAAAAGTAGAACTTAAATTTGAATTCCAATTGTGTTTAAAAACTGAGAGTTTTATCTTGTGAATTTTTGTTTACTGAAATGTGCAAGCGAAATAAATTCTTCTTTTTATTCTTCTCTATTGTTGCAAAATAGCGTCAGCTTATGAAACACTAAATAATTGAATCTTTGTTGAAATTATCGAAAAGTTAAAGTAATAGTGAAACTTGAAGTGTGCTCTGTTGCTTAGGTCAATTTCGGTGCTAGAAGTGTCATCACTCCGGATCCCATGTTGGCAACGAACGAAGTTGGCATCCCATTTGAACTGGCAACCAAACTCAGTTTTCCAGAACCCATCTCCATGCTAAACATGCAGAGGGTGAAGAAACTGATCAGAAACGGACCTTCGGGCTACCCCGGTGCTAATTTCCTGTTGGACCCAAATGGAAGAATGATGTTTCTGAATGCGAATGACAAAAATTCGAGGGAGAATTTGGTTTACAGGCTGTTCAACGTGTCAATGGACCATGAAAAGTACGTTTAGAGATTCGAATCAGAATAATTATTTAGTGAAATCTCTCCGCCAACACTCACCCCCTAAAAATCAAATTACGGGTAAACCTATTTTAGGGTAGAAGTCACGTTTCTAGCTCCAAAATAATCAACTCCACCTGTGTAAACAAGTGAGATTAATCATTATGGATCTAGAAATAGGACTCTTTACCCGTAATAAGGTTACCATGGTATAAATAGCTGTAATAATTTTATGACTCAAAGTGTACTATGAAAGTTTCGTGAGCTCAATTAAGCAATTTCGGAAGTAAATTTTGATAGTTTCTTAGAAGTGAAAAATGCTCTTCTGTATTTAGACCGTATGTGCTGTATCGACACGTGGAGGATGGGGACGTAGTGGTGTTGAATCGACAGCCGACACTGCACAAGCCCTCAATGCAGGCTCACATCGTCAAAGTACTCAAAAAAGAGAAAACTCTCAGGTAAATCTTGACCGAAAAACTGTTTAAGGACGTCAAAGTTATTCAGTGTTGGTTGGCTAGGTGTGCCGTGCCAATACCAAATGAAAACCTTGTGGGAAAGTGACAACTGGGATTTTGTTGATTCTTCTGTCTTCTTCGAAATCGAAAGACGTTTTTTTTGGCCCGTTCACCAACTCTAAAATTCAGTGTCTATTGGCGCCGAAGTCAACTTGAGAAAAATTTCTAAGGTCGGTCTATCAAAAAGTGATGTCGTAAAATAAATAGTAGCTGAAGGATGGAGCCTTTTGGTGGTCAGGAGGTCGACTGCTTGAGAGGGGGTAGGACGTCGGCACCTCCTTTACTTCAAGCTCCCCTGAGTGAGTGTGTATTTACATTTAGGCTGCACTACTCTGCTTGTAAAGCGTATAATGCGGACTTCGACGGGGATGAGATGAATGTGCACTTCCCTCAGAGCTTCAATGCGAGGAGTGAGTGCTACCAACTGATGAACTCTGCCAACTTCTACCTCACACCAAAAGATGGATCCCCATTAGGTTCAGTACAAATACTTGTGGATAATTGGTCTTCATTAAAAAAAGAGCGATGGTGAAAATATTTTGCTCTCCGCCTGTCAATTGAGAGGTCAGTGGTTAGAGGCCCACTATGAAGCAGCGGTTCTGGGTAAAGAGCCGTGGCCATTTACTTCGTATTTGATTGATCTTAAACTTCTGATTTAAAAGGATAACATTGTCCCATAACATCACAACTTCGAATGAGAAGACCCAATAGTCAGGTTGGGAGAGTAATTTGTGCAATGCTGCAGCAGCGGCGAAGTCGTTAGTATCACCTCTGAGTCACATCGGCGGTTCGAGACTCCATGAAAATATTTGCGGCATTAAATTAAAATCCTGTCCATATAATTTTCTTGTGAAAGGCAACTTTCAAAAGGCACAAAATACAAGTCTCAAAATTAGTTCCGTTTAATTCTGTTAAATTGTTAAGATTCTGGCAAAGTTTCAATATGTTCTAAATATTGCAGGTGGGTTGATCCAGGACCACATAGTGGGAGCAGTCCACTTGACTCTGAGGGGGAAATTTTTCACCAAGCAGCAGTACCAGAGTCTGGTCATGTTCGCCCTTCCCTTCTGCATAGATTCTATCAAGTGTCTGCCTCCTGCGATTGTAAAGCCGTGCCTTCTCTGGTCTGGCAAACAGATATTCTCAACTATACTGCAACACTGCCTTCCAAAGGGTGAGGCGCAAATCGGTTAATTCTTCAAAAAAAAGAAACAGGTAAAAAATGCCGTTTTAGTGTACTTTTTGAAAATTCTTGACGAAATTATTGCGTTTTTTTGGCGCGAGCTTCCTTCAAAATTGATATTTATTGGCGCCTTTAGAAAATTTTAGGGTTGTTCAGTCAAAAATGGGTGTCATAAAATAATACCAAAGGGGGTCCCTTTGGCTGGTGAGGGGTTGGAATCGCTGAGGGGAAAGAATCCCCCTCCCTAAAACCGACCTTGCTACAAGAAGTGAACGGATATCGGTGAAAAATTTCAGGTGCTGCCAGGCCTAACTTTGTGGGAAAATCAAAAGTGAACAAGAAGCTCTGGTCTCAATTGAGGGATTTGACTCCTATGTATGAGCACTCCGATTTGGATGACTCAGTCATTGTCGTGTCTGATGGTGAGTCTATATTTAACTCTTGTTCATTAGAGTCAGCATTTTTTATCGACATATCAGCTGAGCATTTCAATTTTTTGCTGTTTTTTGTCCAAAAAATTTGTTTCCAGCGCTGCTTAAAAGTTTAACATTAAGAAATCGCGTTTTTTTTTCGTTGAAGCTAGCCCTTAAAATTTGTTGTGTTTTGGTCGAACTGTAGGTTTGGTCGAACTGCAATGATTGTCATTAATACATCCAAAGGGGGTGCTAATGAAAAGTTTGGTAACTAGATTTGAAGGGGTCGCCCGCTTTTTTTTATTAGCCCCCGGCCCTACCCACGCCCATTGCATGGCCATCCTGGGGAGGGGTTATCATTTGTCGCAGCCGTTTACCCCTTGATGAGGCGAATGCAATGCCGTTGAGAACCCCCGGCCGGAAACGAAGTGGGATTCGAACTCACGGCCCTCGTGTTAAGACCGTTGCGCCTTACATCCTTGCACGCTAGTAGTTTGTTTGCAGGTGAGCTTCTGCAAGGTGTGATTGACAAAACCTCGATCGGAAGTGCCGAGCACTCTTTCACACATTGTCTGTATGAACTCTATGGGCCTCAACCATGCAGTAAATTCCTCAGGTTGGTTTTCGAGTTTAAAAATGATACCAAAATAAAAAATTTCCCCTGAAAAAACGACAGGGACAAATTGATGGAGTGAAGATAGCGTTTTAACCAGTGGTTTGAGTGAAGTGTGATCTTTTTAAGCGCGTGTTCGAAGCTGATGACTAATTACTTGCAGCAAATGCGTGGGTTCACATTGGGAGTGAAAGATGTCTTGTGCACCTCAGAAGCGGAGAGGGTTAGGAAAAAGAAGAACAGAGCTTGTGTCAAGTGAGTTGCCATTCTCAAGTAAGATTTCTTCTCAGGGTCCAGTTCACCTCTGATTTATGTTCTCTTTTACACTTGCCAGCATAGTGTATTAGTATATTTCTACTTTAGTACAAGTGTGAGAGAGGTCTCAAACCACACTATTTTTAAGCAAATACCGCAATTAACTAAATAAATATGCGCCGGTCGGTCATTTCAAAGCTTGTTCTCAAATGTAATTAAACTATTGCCTCATTTGTGCTAAATTATGCGATATTTTAATTGGCATCAGCGAGGCAACAAAGTGAACAGTTTTGAAGTGATTTGAACATTAAGGACCCTGTTAGTTTCTTGGACCCCTGTATCACACTTGTACCCCTTTTTTTCCAACCTGAGCTTTTTTCGTAAAGTTATGAGGGTTTAAAGATTGCCATTTTGACCAATTTGTGACAATTAACGCGCAATATAATTCGCGCTATTAACGCGAAAGCGATATTTAATCCGTCTTATAAATCGTTCCAAATTGGTTGAACGAAGCTTATTTGCCATAATTGATTTGTTACAAGGAACGAAATCTGTCTTTTTGTACTTTATTTGGCGTGTGGGGGGATGATTTTCATTAAAAAAATTCAAATTTTAGAAAAAAAAATTTCATTTTATTTTATTTCATTTAACTTTTTTATGTACTACTGCTGCTCAATAAACCTTAAAAGGCAGTCGAAACCATCAGGGCTTCGCCCTGATACGAGCAGTCTTGTTGTTCAGACTTTCGATATGAAATTAACGGAATATTTGTGCTCGGGGTGGGTTTTTTTTTCTTCAGACAAATTTCGACTTTTTAACTCTTCTTTTTTGACGGAATTTTTTATATCATTCAAAAGGTATTGTTGTCCTGAGCTTAAATTTGAAAAGATATTTCACCTGTGATCATTTTTCGTAAAGTTATCAGGGTTTTAACGTTGCCATTTTGGCCGTTTTGACCAATTTGGGACAATTAACGCGCAATATAATTCGCGCTATTAACGCGTAAGCGGAGATTTAATCCGTCTTATAAATCGTTCCCAATTGGTTGAACGAAGCTTATTTGCCATAATTGATTTGTTACAAGGAACAAAATCTATCTTTTTGTACTTTATATGGCGTGTGGGGGGATGATTTTCAAAAAAAAATTTCAAATTTTAGAAAAAAAAATTTCATTTTATTTTATCTAATTTAATTTTTATATGTATTACTGCTGCTCAATAATTCTTAAAAGGCAGTCGGAACAGTCGCCCTGATACGAGCAGTCTTGTTAAATTTTGGCCTCATACAAGCATTCTTGTGAACTCTGTAATGTTAAAATTGCTGTCAAGCTCATTCTCAAAGAGCAAGAAAAATTATGACTGTTCAAAACAAGCAATTGTTAAAATTGCTATTTAATTAGACTTGAGTTATCATAGTAAAACGGATGCGTCAACTCACATTCTTTCTAACGATTTCAAAAAATCAGGATTAAGATTGTTCTATTCAAAATCAAAATAAGCAACAAGACTGCTCGTATCAGGGTGAAGCCCTGAATGTTCCGACTGCCTTTTAAGGTTTATGGAGCAGTAACAGCATTAAAAAATTCAATGAAATAAAACAAAACGAAAAATTTTTTTATCCAAAATTGAAACTTTTTATGAAATTTTTTCATCACCCCACACGCCATATAAATGACAAAAGGATAAATTTCGCTCCTTGTAACAAACCAATTATGGCAAATATGCTTCTTTTAACCAATTTGGAACGATTTATAAGACGAATTAATACTCCGCTTTCGCGTTAATAGCGCGAAATATATCGCGCGTTAATTGTCCCAAATTGACCAAAATGGCAATCTTTAAACCCCCGTAACTTTACAAAAAATGATCACAGGTGAAATATCTTTTTAAATTTGAGCTCAGGACAACAATACCTTTCGAATGATGTAAAAAAATTCCGTCAAAAATGGCTAGTTAAAAAGTCGAAATTTGTCTGAAGAAAAAAAAACCCACCCCGAGCACAAATGTTCCGTTACTTTCGTATCGAAAGTCGGAACAAAAATGTCCTTTTCAAAAATTTTGCAACTCAGTATATTTCGCGAAATGTTTTGAATGCCTACTTCATACAAAGTTTGGCTTAAAATTTTCCTACAATTTATCGCATGCAAAGTTTGTGGTTGTCTTTAGTGATTCAATTCTAAATAATTACATGCAATTTTTGCCTTTAGTTGATTCCAAATGATCACATGCAAAGTTTACGTGCTAATTTTTTGCCTTCCAAATCTTCTGGTCTAGGACAACAAGCCGACGGAACTTCGAGCCGAAAGGACTTGAGGCCGAAACTTAAACATTACAAGCACCTCAAAACACTATTTTTTCATCCGTAAAACGTTTCTTTTCAAACATTTAGGCAAGTTTAGTCCATAATAAGCTTTATTCATGACAATGCACTACTTATGATTGGCATCCGTTAGTAAAGTCAGCCGGTTTTTGAAACGCATAACCTATAAAAATGAAAAACGACATCAACCGTGTTGTATTTTTCAACTATCCTAAACTTGATTTGGATGCTTAAACTTTATGAAAACGCCAATAACCAGTGAAGAAAGATCATGAAATTGAGAAATTCTTCAAAAAAGTTTTCAAATTGATCATATTTTATGACTATGGTAAAATATTCGGCTTGAAGTCCCTAATTTTACAATTCGGCATGAAGTCCCGTCGGCTTGATGTCTGGCACACCAAATCTTCTACCCTTTCTCTCTTGTATTTACGAAATTGCAGCTTTGCTTCTGTTTCACGATCTCTAGCATTGGAAACTTCAGAGCATCTGTTCTCTGCTTTATTTGTGGCTAGTGTTTGGCGATCGTTAAGCATTCGTGGCTGCGAGGGAAGGACGTAAGAGTTAAAACTTTGGTTCTTTTTCACCCGCCCCTCCCCATCAGCGAATACTCACTAATAATTTTTCTGTTCTCATTGTCCGATTGTTACAAAAATTGGCATGAGGTTTAATTAGGCTATGACAAACATATTTGGTCTTCACATCTAACCTTGTAAGGATCAAGTTAACATCCTCCCCCAGATAGACCAAGTTAAGATCTTTAATCCCAGCATTTAATTCGCATTAAATTTGCTAGCCACTGCATGTAAAATAATACTCGATTCTAATTGACTGAAAATTCCTAACTTAGAACCAAGTTAACATCTCCCCCCCCCCCAAGGGCTTTGGGGGGGGGGGGGATGAGGATGCTAACTTGGTCCCCTTGTAAAACCTCTCGTTACGCCAGAAATTGAGGCTTATGTGAGGTGGGGGGAAAAGGAAAAGAGCCAAAACTTTTCCTAAAAATCCAGTTTTCCTTAATTAGGTTAATTTTTTATCAAAAAATGCCAAACAAAAATTCAAAGAGCTTTAACGTCATCTATTTTTTATTTGGAACTGTCTGTTGGCTATGTTCCGTTGGCGCGCTAGTGTTTGCGAATTCAGCTTCGCCTGTATGTTCATGTCGCTCGCGTCCCTTGGATGTATATCATATACAGCAGTAGCGTGATTAATCAGAGATGAAGGTCACTGTTGCTTATTTAGAGCGGGTCCTAGTGTCACTGCCGAAGCTCTGCTCGGAGAGGTCAGTGACCCAAAAGAGGATGAACTGAAAACTCAGCTGGAGCTGTTACACAACCAGCGAGATGCCTTCAAAATGTCTACCTGGGAGAAAATGATGTCGGTATGTTCGATCCGAATCAGCTAAATCGTATCAGTCAACATCAACAAAAAATCTGTACGCTAGAAAATTCCAAAACATTTTTTTCCGAACACAAAGTGGGAAGGAATTCTGGATACGGGTGTGTTCAAACAAGCGGATACTACTAAGCTAAATTTTTTTACAACCTAAATCTCAAATGTTGTGCTAATTTCGTTTGGTGGTACTTTTGCAGCAGGCAACATGGGCAGTTTAATAGCCTGTGATTACACATGCGGAGCTTGTTGTCTTATTACATTATCCATTGCTTTACAACCTAAATCGAAAATAAAAGTTCCCATAAAAAAGATAATTTTGCATGTTTATATCTGGCATTATTTTGGTGTATAGCATTGTTTTTTTTTCTATTTTATTGGTGGCTAGTTTCTGTTTGATAACACTAGAGTCAGCTTAGTGTATTGTTAAGAGCCTTCTCTTTTTTCTAACCTAACTCGCAAATAAAAATGTTCTTTAAACGTGTTCACTTAATTGGAAGTTCCACTGTAGCATTAGAAATTGTATAGCATCTGTTCTCTGCTTCATTTGTGACTTTTTTCACTATTACCTATTAAGCTTCCTTGACTGAGTGGTCAGGTTGTGAGACTCAATCCCTAGGTAGCCGGTTCGAATCTCAGACGTAGTCGAATTTTTTGCTCATAAGAGGCTTATTTCTACTTTTTATTGCAATTTATTTTGTCGTGTTCTTTTTTGTCGAGTTGCTTTTTTGTCGTGTTCTCGCTAGCTTCGCTTTTGTTTAAAATTAGTTTTTATGAAAATAAATGGGATTTGGTTGTGTTATTGTGTTTTGAGACGCTTTGGAAAGTTTTTTCTCTTTCGTAAAAATTTTAAATTTTCTCAAACCTATTTAATCGTTTCTTCTCGAACTTAAAAGTCGTTTCGATGGAAAAGTGGCTACTCGGCTGTCTGCCTGCATACTTGACTAGTCTCTAGTTCTTTACTTTCAGGCTACAGCCTTCTAAAATTTCAGTGGGTGATTTTTGACCTATTTTTTCTGTGTTTATGTATGACCCTGCCAAATCTGAGACAAGGATATTATGGGCATTACCCATGGATAAGCTGCTGCGCCCTAATTTTTGAGGAAAAAGAGTTTGGCCTTAGAAAAAGTCCAAATTTTATAATCGTTGACCTTTTTTTTATTAGAAATTTCTCCTTTTTCTCTTAATCTTTTTCGTCAAATTTTAGATAAAGGGTTCAATCTATAAAATCAGTTCGATCACTAGGATTATTGAAACGGCTAATCAAAAAAATTTACTGTCATAGAAATGGTCCAATTTGGATATTTTGAAAGTTGTTAGGAAACTTTTTGCCTTCTCTCAAAAACTACCCTGCCAAATCGGAGGTGAATGGTTTGATTGAAAAAACTGTTCATGTGAATTTTCTCTGCACAAGTGGTGTCAGCCTAATTTTCTTGGTGATTTTTTTTCAGAAAAAAAGTCTTAAAACGCTCCTATAACTACAGATGTGCATTCATACATTTTAATGCATTTATGAATGCACTTTGGGGCTAGGTCTTTTACCAGACCGACCCTTTACCAGACCGACCCTTTACCAGACCACAATGTAATAATTCAATTAAGATAAATTTAAATTACTGGAAGATACAAAAAGGAAGCGGTTAGAACAAACAAAACTTAGCTGAGAAAACCTTGAAATCATTGTCTTTAACCAGACTAAACGGCGTCAATACATCTGTCAATCAAATTTGCTTATCGAGTCTGGTAAAAGGTACATGTTATAACTTTTCTGGTAAAAGGTCGGCCTGGTTAAAGGTCGGCCCCCATGCACTTTGGTATATATTCAATTTTTGAATTGAAATTCATCCGTTGAAAGTGACGGAAATAGCACTCTTCAAATACGAACGTAGAAATGGCGCGAAAAAACGAACAAGTTCTAGTTTCGAAAATCAAATTTAATTTTTAGATTTTCAGCGGAACAAAAACTTTACGATTTGATCCAGCTTTCTCATGTTGCGTTAATGTTATCAAAGAAGCGCCAATCATAAACTGTTCTATAACTTCAAAGAGCTCAAAGGTCATCTATTTTTTTCTGTGAAACCCTAAAGTTGAGATTTTTTCAACTAAGTCTCCAGTATATTTTTTTCTGTTTACTTGCGTTCATTACTCTTTTCCAACTGTCTGTTGGCTGTTTTAAAAAATGGGTCATTTTAATTTCAATTGGCAGAAGAAAGTTTTTGTAGGAAGTCATTATAATAGTGTTTGTTTACAGGGCAAGGTAGGCTCCTTGAACTCGGAGCTGACTGCAGCGTGCATTCCTTATGGACTGAAATCCAAATTTCCTCACAACAATCTGCTGATGATGATTGAGAGTGGTGCTAAAGGAAGTGCAATCAACATGGCTCAAATAGCCGCTCAGGTGAGTTTGCTGAGTTTATTTCAGGTCGTCGAAAGCCGACCCTTGGTTTAGTTTTTGCCTCACCGGCGTACGACTTCCTATATAATAATATTAAATTCGTTTACGAATCAGGCACATTACATAAATTATTTATTATAATTTATAAATGCACAGATTTAGTAGTGCCGATTCGAATGGTCACCGTAAGGCTACAAGCCTGTTTGCAGATGCCATTTGAGAACAATTTGGAGAATCAAAATCCATTCTTTTGTTTTTATCCGATAGAAACCTACTGTTTTGCAATAACCGTTTTTGTTGATGTAGATCTAAACCATAAAGACCAAGGATTTTAATTTATGATTTCTTAATATGAAACAAACAAGTTACTCGTCAAAAAAAAAAATTCAACCCAGTTTTTACTAAAAAAACCTTTGCACAGAAATCGGTATCATGTATTCATGACCTACTTACCAAGATTTTTCAAAATCATCTCATTTAAAAATTGTATGCAGTTTCAAAAAATGAGCTAATTTTTCCTTTTCCTTTTTTTAAAATTGGATATTCGGGTATTTTTTCCGCGCAAAGTTAGCTGCTCAAACGAATTATTGTTTCGGGTTGCATCAAAAAATTCTGCAATCAATGGCATTTCAATCAAGTATTTGCTACTCAAGTTATTGATTTTGAAGATAAATATGGTTTTAATATTTTTTTGCCATTTACTGTAGTCAGAGTTTTCTAAGCTCTAAGCTGCTTGCTCAGTAACTGGTTATTCTTGACACTATGTGCAACTATCGGAAATGAAACTTGCATCGCTCGGAAAGTTTGGGAAAAGGATATTGTGCGTATTTTTACTGGCCAGATATCTTTTTTGCGAGCCGCATTATGTGTGAAATTTTTTTACTTGGAAGTTATAAGCAATAATACAATTAAACTTGCTAGAGCAAGTGTCTTGTAATCAGGAACTAGATTTTCCCCTCTAAGCAACTTTTCTTACAATTCTTACTGGATTTCTTACTTTCTTAATTTTTGAACCTTAATATATTATGGTCTCCTTCCAACTTGGTCTGGAGGTAATGCTGCTGACTTGTTTTTATTTCAGTGCGTATGAATCTGAAATTCTGTTCCGGGAAAAATTGATTTGTCGGGCTAATGCTTGTGTGCTTCTGTTTTGTCTGCTTAGTTGCCGCATCACGGATTTTTCTTGTGCTGTAAGCAATTTTTACTGTATTTGAAAGTATTGATTTTTTCCTGTAATTCCATTATAAAACAAACTTTGGTTTTACTAGCCCTGCATATTTTCCTCTGTTTTTTCTTTTGGCATCTATGGTTTTAATTTATGTTCAATAGGCTTAATCAATTTATTTTGAGTCAATTGGAAGGAAAAATTGTTGTTTTTATAAAAATAAACGGTCGATTGTGATGCAAAATCTTAAAGTTTTGGAACTTATTACAACAATTTTATGACAACAATTTCTGATGATTTTTTTTCTGGTTTCGGCTGCACGGTTTTCTACTCATTTATTGTCGGCTTTGTTGCCGCTTGATAAATATTAAAAGCGTTTTTAATGCTTGTGTTTGTGTTTCTCGATTGTTTTTCTCGAAATTGGATTTTTTATTCATGGTTGTTTCCGTCTGTTTGCTAGCTTGCAATTTTTTTTATTGCCTCTAGTTCAGCGTTACCTCTATTCGAAAATTTTCTTCCTGCTTGATTTATTACACTTGCGATTGTTAGTGTATCAGTACGGACAATTTTTTGCTAACCCAACTCGCAAATCAAATACATCATTAAAAGTGTTCTTTTATTTGGTTGCACTTTTGCTATTATCACGAGCTGTAGCATTGGAATTTTTTCAGCATCTTTTCTCTGTTTCATTTGCGGCTAGTGTTTGTGATTTATTAAACGTTAGTGCGCGATACTCATAATATCTAGGTCGCTGATCGAATCCCAGACGTAGCTGACTTTTTATCATGAAGTTTTATTATGACTAACAAAATCAATAGAAACAAATTTTTTCCGACATAATTAGTGCATTTTTTTAATCTTAGCTAGCGTAATAAATACCAATTTTCGAGGTTGTGAGACTCTTAATCTACAGGTCGTTTGATAGATTCCGGCCAATAGCATTCCGACACATAGCATGATTTTTGTTTTTCTAGACTTACTTGACCGTTTTTTCTTTAATTCACTTTTAAACTTTTTGGAACTACCTTTTGCTTTTTCTCTCTTGTGTTTGCTAAATGCAGCTTTGCCTCTGTGTCAAAACTTTTTGATTGAAATCCTGCTGTCTAATTCATTTGGGACTAAATTTAATCTTTTCAACGCTTATTTTCAAAACAAATTCAAATTGTTTTGACTGTTCACAGCGTCGTGACACTAGTGACTTCGATAGCGTAGTGTAATATGCGCAGTCCAGTTTCCTCCAACAAATTCGAAATTAAAAGTGCTTATTTTGATGCAATTTTTGCTGCATAGAATTGGCAATACAAAATGATTGGAAATATGTTGCACCTTTACAGCTTATTGATAACTTGTGCTTTGACATTCGAATAGTTTGAAGTCTATCCAGTTGATGCATTTTTAATTCATCAAGTGAACCGAAGAAAGCTATTTGTTTCAAACAGCATAAGATTCATAAAATCTTGTTTTCAAAAATTTTCTAGCTAAATATATCTCGCACTTTTTTGAAATGCATAATTTATACTTAATGTGGCTTTATGATTTGCGATTTATCACATGCAAAATTGTATCTTTTTGTGTTTGGCGCTACTTTTGCTGCATTGAATTGGCAATTTATTAACATATGTTGCTGCATTATTGGTGGCTAGTTTTTGAGGATTTTAAGCATCCGTGGCTGAATGGTTAGTGCATGAGACTCAAATTTGCTAGATCGCAGTTTTCTGCTAATTGGAGTTTTCGCTAAGCCTCGAGTTTTTGCAAATTCGAGGCTTATTTCTACTTTTTTTAAGTCACTTGATAGAGCTGCTTTTTTTCGTGTTCTCGCAATTGTTTACGAAGCACAGCTTCGCTTCTGTGTCTCCAATTTATCGGCGACTTTTTGGATTCTATAAAATTCTGCGGCAGTCGACTTTTAAATTTAGGTATCCGAAGACAGGTGCGATTTCCGCCGAAGTTCATCGTTTTCCCAGCCTCATAACTATTTTTATGTTTTCGCATTTTTCTTTAAAGTGACTTAAAAATGAATCCTGGTCAGTGCGGTCAATTGATATTCAGGTCGTTATTTTTGCAATTCCTAATTGAATAATGGTGATTGCTTTAAAGCTTTTTAAATAAAGAGTTTATTAGCTGAGTTATTGGTTTTAATTTTTAAAAAAACAGTTTTTCAAAAACAAACCTAGAAGGTTGTTCATGTTCCCATAACTTGTTTCAGAATGGTCAAATTGAGTTGGAGGGACGTCGCATCCCGATGCAGCTGAGTGGAAAGCATCTAGCCTGTTTCAAAGCATACGACCTGAACCCAGTGGCTGGAGGATTTGCCACGAACCGCTTCCTGACTGGACTGAAACCCTCCCAGTACGTGTACCATTGTATGGCTGGAAGAGATGGTCTAGTAGACACGGCCGTCAAAACAAGCAGAAGTGGATATTTGCAAAGGTAATGTTTTCTTTTGCTATCTTTGCTGGTAATTGGAGAAGTCTGATCTTGGTTGCATTGTTTTAATTAGTTTTCATTCCATGTGAGAAACGGGGATTAGTAGATAATTTTTTTCTCCGCTCCGACGAATTTTTCCTAGCTCTCTGAAATCCCTCCATTGATCACATACTTCGAAAAGTGTCGAACAGAAAAATCACTTTATGGAGCGTTCACAAAAGATTTACACAAAAAGGAAAGTTTTGGCGGAAAAATTAACGTTGCTTTCGCAGCAGAGATTCAAGACAGGCATTCGTCGCTTCTCCAAACTTTCATTTTCAAATAGTCAATTCCGTGTTACAAGCAATTTTAATTTAACAACCTGCAAAAGAAAATGTTTTCTCTAAAGGTGTCTCGTAAAACTGTTGGAGGGTGTGAAGGTGCATTACGACAACACAGTTCGCAACAGTGACTCCACGATGGTGCAGTTCCTGTTCGGAGAAGATGGCCTGGATCCCATCAAGTCCAGTTATCTCAATAACTCGAAGACTATGAAGACTCTGATCAACAACAAGAATGTCTATGATGACAAAGTGCGCACATGCAGGGAAGCAGTGGATACAACTGCAGTCAAAGCTCATTTAAAAGGTGAAAATAGTTGATGTGGTCACCAGTGTCGGAAAAAGATTTGAATTAGAATTTTGTCAAGTAAATGAAAATCATAAATTTTAATTACAGTGGAACGCCCATATTTTTTCTCCATCTTTTACGGGGGTCGAAGTTTTCAACTTGTTCGTCAAAAAAAGTTATCAGCTTAATTTTTTTGAACGTTTTCTTTGCCGTTTTACCAAAAGGTTTGCCAAGTGTTTAGTGATTTTTAGGAAGTGCCCATGATACAGATCCGAGAACTAATTATCCGAGTTTTCTCAGTATTGGTTTTGATTATCTAAATATCTTTCTCATAAAGTTCGACGCATAATTTCAGGGGGGGGGGTTAAAAGTGGTCATTTTCCTAGCCACTTTTACTATACTACTTGAAATGTTTTGCGGAGAAAAATTTCACTTTCCTTTTTTTTTTATACAAGCTCAGCGTAGTGTATAACTTCGAACACTTTTTTCCCAACTGTATTGCAAATTAAGGTTCTAATTTGATAGAAATTATGGTATTTCTTAGCATTGGCAGTTTAATAGCATCTGTAGCTGCTTTATTTGTGGCTTGTGTTAGTTAATTGCCAAGGGATTGTGGCGCAAATGTGAGGACTTAAGTCTCCTAACTCTAATCTGAAGGACGGAGGTTTGATTCCAGCACATGGCAATTTTATTTTTCAAGGCTTATTTTCACTTAGTTTTTACCTTTTTATAGCTACTTTTTGCCGTTTTCTCTCTTTTGTGTTTGCGAATTTCTGCATTGCGTCTGTGGTGATGGTCTTTTTTGGCCATGTGCTGTTTGAAGTTTTCATCAGCTTAATCTTATATATTAAATGTAACTCCGAATGCGCTATGGACGCAATGTTTAACTGAATGCAATGTTTTAGCTTTGTCGAAAGCAACATTTAAAAAATTCTTAAGGCCTAACGTTTAAGAGAAAGCCAAGAATGATCTAGATTTTTGAAATTTTTTTAAGTATAGACAAGATGGATTCAATTCATTTATAAGGCTAGACAGTGCCTGTCCATTTTTTCCGAAGTTTGCGTTCTTAGATTAATTTCATTCTGAAACGAACCAACTAAAAACAACAACCTCCTTGCTAGAAAAACTAGCTGTTTGCAAACCGATTTGCACTATGAATTGTTTTGAAAATGTTCAACGTTTCATCGCTTGCATAGCTTGCTTAGAAAGAAAAGAACTTTTCGCCAATCGATTTGCTGTGAAAACTTGAGATAATTCAAAGTTTCATTGCCTCAATAGCTTGCTTGATTTACCTCTTGAAATAACTTGAAAAGTTCAAAAGTTTCATCGCATGAATCGTGTGCTCAGAAAAACGTTGAAATATTTCAAGTTATCTCATAGACCGAACCGTTTTGCGAAAAGCTGAAGTTTTTAAAGCAAAGTTTTCGCAAACATTTTGTTAGCAAGCTTTTTGCAAATTTTAAATATTTAAAGTTTAATAGCTCACTTAGATAAACTTAAGCTTTTGGCAAAACGATTCAGTCTATGAAACAACCTGAAATAATTGCACATTTCATAGCTCTAAAAGCTTGCTTAGAAAAATTTCAATTTTTCCTGAACCGACTCAGATAAGTTAACATGAAACAGTTCAAAGTTTCACAGCTCTAAATGGTTGCTAAGAAAAATTTCAATTTTTCCTGAACCGACTCAGATAAGTTAACATGAAACAGTTCAAAGTTTCATAGCTCTAAAAGGTTGCTAAAAAATTTTGTGAACCGATTTGGTCAGCAGAATAACTTCAAAATATTCAAAGTTTTATCGCTTGACTAGCTTGCTTCGAAAAGTTGAAAGTTTTTCGCAAACTGATTCGGTATATGAAATAAATCAAAATTTCATAGCTTTGAAAGCTTGATTAGAAAAACTTCAACTTTCAGTCTATGAACCTATTCAGTCTATCAATTATTTTGAAATAATTCGAAGTTTCGTACCTTCAAAAGCTTGCTTAGAAAATTTTAAGCTTTTTTGGAAACTGATTCGGGATACAAACTAACTTGAATTATTTTGAACTTTTTTGCCTAAGAAAGCTTGCTAAGAAAAGTTAAGTTTTTTTTTAGGAACCCATTCGATCAACAAAATACTTTAAAAAATTCTAAGTTACATAGCTTGAATAGCCTGCTTAGAAGACTGTAAGCTGGCTATCTTTTTTGCTAGCTCTCTTTTCTGTATCAACTTCATGAAATAACTTGAAATATTTTGAAGTTTCCTTTCTTAGCTAGCTTGCTTAGAATTACTTAAATTTATTGCCAACAGATAGGCTTCATGCAACGATCTGAAATTTCAAAAATGTTCCGTTGATCGAATAGCATATGAAACTATTTTTTGCAAAAGATTAGATCCAATAAACGATATGAAATATTTCAAAGTTTCATGACTTCAAATGCTTGCTTAGAAAAACTTGAACACTTCGCGAACTGATTCGGTCCTTAAAATAGCTTGCTTAGGAAAAGCATTAGTTTTCCGTGAGCCAATTTGTTATAAAATTTTTTAAAGCATAATATTAATAGCCTGCATTCATTCTATGAAAAACCTTGAAATAATTCCAAGTTTCATAGCTCTAATAGTTTGATTAGAAAAACTTGAATCTTTTGCGAACCAGTTCGCTGTGTGAAGTAACATGAACTATTTCAAAGTTTCATCGCTTGAATAGCTTGCTAAAAAAATTTTACTTTTCGCCAACTGATTCGCCCTATCAAACAACGTGAATTTTTTCAAATTTTCCGTACTTTAATAGCTCGCCAGAAAAACTTCACTTTTTCGCGGATTTATTCGCTCTATGAAGCAACTTTAAATAATTCAATGTTTCATTGCTTGAAATGCTTTCATAGAAAAACCTTAAGTTTCGCCTCCCGATTTGCTTCATGAAACATTTTGAATTATTTCAAAGTTTCAGCTTGAATCGCTTGCTTAGAAAAACTTCAATTTTTCGGGAACTGATTCGTTCTACGAAACCTAAAGTTTTTCAAACCGATTTACGATATGGCTCAACATGAAATTGTTCAAAGTTTCATAGCTTGAATAGCTTGATCAAAACACTTTTTTGTGAGCCAATTGATTTTTGGAGGCGGGCTTGCTAGTTGCTCTGTAATAGTAAAAAGATTTATGAAGCCAAGTGTCTGTGTTTCTAAGTTAAGGTCCGTGTTTCTTTCTCGGATTTTTTTTAATTGTTCACCTATAATTTTTTTTCGCTGTTTGCATATTTGAGTTTTCTCGAAATTTATGTGTCAAATGGACTGGAAATTGTCCACTCCAGAAGCAAAAGGACATTCGGAAAATTAAAAAGCGTGCATTTTTCGTAGTTTCAAAACTACACGAAAGATTTCAGAATTTCATGCGCTAAAAATTGACCTATTAGTTTTCTCTAACTGGCTTTGTTTCAGAAAGAAACGGCCAAAATAAAGGAATTTTGAAGTTCAACGAGCGTAAAGCTTGTGTTTTTTTTTTCAAAGTTGAAAACTTGTTATAAAAAAGAAACCAGTGAGTTCATTGACATTTTTTCTGGCTACGTTTATTCTTTTTTCCATGGGCGAATTTTAATTGTTCTTGAAAGGTTACAGAATGTGTCCAAGCTCGTACAAATTCGTTGTGCATAATCTCATTTTAACCCATTACAGAAGCATCGCTCACTGCGACAGATGCAAAAAAGACTAAGACCTCTCCAGTTATCTCCCATCTCTCGCCCGCTCGATTTTTTGGATCTGTGTCGGATAAGTTCGGCACAATGAGAGACGAATCTATTCCCAATTCAGACAGCAAACAGAAGACTAAATGCAAACAGCTTCTGAATTATAAGTTCATGAACAGTTTGATGGAGCCGGGCGAAGGTGTAAGTAAAAAACGCGTTGTTTCGCTTAGTTTTAGTAAACGTGAAATGGTTTCACCGCTCTTCCTTTCACCAATAATTAAAGGCGAACAAGCGCTGAAATGAAACAACTAAAGTTTTGCATTTTGAATGAAGCTATGAAGGAAGAGTACTTCTAGGGCCAAAGAATGATTTCTGAAGGAAAGATAGCAAAATACCTGTTATTTGAAAAAGTCAAATCAAGTGGAAGGCAGCGATGGCCCGGTGTTTTTTTTTCAGCAGGTTTCAGGCAACTCAAAGAAAGCTCGTTACATAAAAAAGCGGCCGGAAGTTTGAAAAATGATTGAAAACTTTAAATATCTTCCACTTTTCTTTTTGTAGATTGGCTTGACCACAGCCCAGTCAATTGGGGAGCCGTCTACGCAGATGACACTGAACACATTCCACTTTGCGGGAAGAGGAGACGTGAACGTGACTTTGGGAATCCCCCGATTGCGGGAGTTGCTGCAGACTGCCTCCAAGAATATCAAGACACCCACCATGACTGTTCCAGTTCTCAAAAGTAAGCGATCGGTCCGATATCAGTGATGTCCAGTTAAAAACAATTGTGAAGTGTCTATTAAAAATTCATCATCATTCTTTTTATATTGAGACACCTCTTCTAGTTCTCAGTGGTGTTAGTTGATACATTTTCGTTTCGACTTTGTTGTTGAGTAATTTCGCAGGCTATTTCCCGTATTACTATGGGTTGCTTTATTCCGATTGTTTAGACTAGCGTCAGCTTAGTGTGCTATTAAGAACCTTATTTTTCTCTAACCTAACTCGCAAATAAAAGTGTTCATTAAAGTGTTCAATTAATTTGGAAAATTCACTGTAGCATTGGAAATTGCATAGTATCTGTTCTCTGCGGTATTTGTGGCTAGTGTTTGATCTTCTATCTACCAATGAGCTTCGGTGGCTGAGTAGTTTGTGTGTGATTCTTTATCTGAAGATCGCAGGTTCGAATCTCAAACGTAGTCGAATTTTTGCTAATTCGAGGCTTATTTATACTTTTTCTTATTCTACTGTTTAAAGCTGCGTGTGAGTCACTGGTTAAAGTGTCGTGTTGTCACTGGTGTTTGAGAAGCGAAGCATCGCTTCTGTGTTGTTTTTATGCTCAGTTACAGTGCACTTCTTCCTATGGTAGTCATCGTTATACTAGCGATCAGCGTAGTGTATTATTACGAACCTTATTTTTTTCTAACCTAACTCGCAAATGAAAGTTTTCATTAAAAGTGTTCATTTATTTGAAAATTTCACTTTAGCATTGGACATTCAGCATTTATAACTGCTTTTTGCGGTGTTCTCGCTAGTGATTGCGAAGCTTCGCCTCTTAAAAGCCTCGAGCCAGTTCAAAATAGCAGAGCTCTTTTGCTCCTCGGCAAGTCGAACCTCTAATGAGTACTTTAACAGAGGAATTTAAGAGCGGAATACAAATCTTTGGACAATTGATGTATTTTTTTTCAGGTTTTGGTTGTATGGTTTTAAAACATCTAAGAACAAAATTTTATTGCAAAATTAGTTTCATGGCAAGCAATTTCAAGATTTTTTGCGAGGTTTTGTTCGTTTGTTCAACGTTTTCACTTCGCTTTTTCCAAACCGTCCATTTATTTTCATCATTACTAGATGGAAATTTTTATATAAAGTTACCAGTCTCTTCGTTTTTTTCTTTGATTTCAAACACATTCTCATCAGAGACCTCCCGTTCATTAAGGTCTTTTGTTCCTCCTATTATTGAAACTTCTTCGACGTGTTTGCTACTGAGATCATTTACAACTTTCTGACTAGCTAATGCGTTAAGGGCAGCGCCAGGACAGGAGAAGGCTATTGATTTTTCAAGTAGAAATCGTTGAAAATTGAATCTCCCAAGACGGCATGCATACAGGTTGTTTTCAACTCAGTGAACACTGGTGTTCTGAATGTTTCGTGACTTTCTCTTCTTATAAAATTTTTTGTTCGAAGGTTTTTCAATTATTGCTTCTTTCCTAGAAGTCATGACCTAATTATCTGAGTTTTTTCTTTGTTTCCTTGTCAGTTTCTCAATTAACTTCAATATTCAATTCAAAATTTTTTCTACAATGAGCAGTAAACTTTGACCCTCGAGTTGGTACATTACTGCAACTCATAGTAGAAACGCATAAAAAGAAGACGTTTGAACTCATCCTCACGATAAACTCCTACTGGGACTGATAGCCGCTATTACTTTATTTGAGATATAACTAATCAAACTGATATTAAATCAAGTTGGTGTAACAAAAAGGTTATTGAGTAAAAAGTTTTTTTTACCATGTTTTACCATGTCATCATTCGGTCACTAACGGTTGATTTTGGAAGTCATGATATTGAAATTTTCCATCCAAATAGAACGTTTTGGTAATTTAAGTCAAGGAACGCCCCGAAAAACACAGGTAAGTTACCGGACGTTCTATTTCGTGGCGTTCCTGAACTGTTTTTTTTTGCTTGGATCCATTGGCAGTTTTTGTTTGTTTGAAGAAACAACAGCCTACGCAATCAAGACTGGATAACCGTTTAAAGCTGAATAATAGATATCTGCTTTGACGAACTACGAGTCGGTGTTTTTTGTATTAGCTAATTTAGTTCTCTGATTAAGGAGATATCACTGTTTGCAGCTCCCCGAGCAGAAAAGTTGTCGGAGAAGTTGAGCAAAGACTTCCGCAAGATCTACTTGGAAGACGTTGTGCTCTCGGTGGACTTGGAAAAGAGCTGGTCGAAAGATCTGAGACAGAAGTACAAGGTCCAGTTCCACTTTGTCTCCAAGAAGTATCTCAGATATCTGACATTCCTCAAGTCCAGACAGGTGCTCAAATTCATGGAGCACACTTTTCTCACGGTGAGTTGATATTTTCTAGTTACATCAGATTTTTAATTTTTTTTTAGAAAAATGAATTTTTGAGCATAATTTTATTCGGTCGGTAGTCTTTTTTTTCTCCAACGCAATATTGTGCATAGTTTATACGTTACTTACACCGCTTCGGGTGTTGCTATATCCGCGTTCGAATCCACTACTATCAAGGTGATTACTATTCGATCCAGGTTCAAGTTCTGTATTATCAGATTTTTATTGGGATTTTGACTTGTGTCCTTAGTCCACGATACAATTGTATTTTCAAAGGGTATTGGCTGTAGTAGTTGGACTTTAACCTTGAGTATATATAATTTACAAGTTCAAAATACGCGCACTAATTTTGAGTTGTTTCAGTTTTTGGTGAAGAAGTATGTACGTGTAGTGAAGAATCTGGGCAGAGGGGAACCCTCGTGTGAAGCTGCAGACGAACATGTGGATCCCAACGGATACGCTATTGTAAGTTGACCACGTATGCATTGAAACACCTAAAAGATATAAGGTGCAACGATTGTTGTGAGAGAATGAAAACTGTTGTGACGTGTTGTTTGCTGCAGTTTCTCAAAAGTTCCCGTGACGAGAGTTTTTAGAGATGAGTAATTGTACGCCAGGTCAAATGAAAACTACATTCTTCTAGCGGTGGGCAATTTTCAAACGAGAGGAAATGAAATTGTGTTCAGTGTAAAGTTATTGCTAAATTGGTTACCCCATTTGCAATCATTGCGTTCAAATAGTTTCATGAAAAACTAATTAAGGAAAAGGATTTATTTTTTGAGCGGTTGGAAAATTCAAGATTACCTATAATGCCAACAATTTAGCATTATCTATTACTGGAGTTAGGCGATGTAATAATTGGCTGTGATTCAGTCGGGTGGAGGTGGGGAGGGGAGGAATCGAACTCTGTCGGACGGCAACTCGGACTGTGAGGACAATGTGGAAGTGGGGGGCACTGGAGCTGCCAAGACACTCTCCAAAATAGATGACGAACGAGTGAGTAATGCAATCCTCGAACGCCCATTTGAAGTGAAATGAAACATGACTTACAAAATAAGTGATTTTTATTTATTATATTCATGGATATGAATTCATTTATACATGTTAATAGCAACCAAGGCCAGATATATATTTTTAACGGATGATTTGCTTGGAACTTAGATTAATGGAAAATATGGAAAATCTGTGTGATAGTACAAAAAATTTCTGTGATAGTACAAAAAATTTCTGTGATAGTGAAAAGTTGTAGTTTTGCAGTTTTGAAGGTTGTGCAAAACTAAGAAACGTAAAACTAAGAAAATGTTGGTCTAGGATTACGATGACGAGAAAGATGCGGATGACGAAGTGTTGGAATCTGAGAATGAGTTGGACGAACACGAGAAGGACGAGGGATCTGCCGACGAGTCCAAAGGTGAAATGTGAAGGATAATTTTGCATAAAGTTGTGCAAATGATAACTTCTGAAATAATTTCGAAACGTTTTTATGGTCAGCTTTGAGGTTGACATGTTGATCCATATGTTTTTATCATATCACCGAGTTTAAATTTTTTACTCCTACATATTTTGATAGGCAAGGACGGCGAGAGTGCAGAAGCGGACGAACAAAAAGCAGGTTCAGTTTTTTTATTTAAAAAAAAATTGTCAATAAACAGTTGTAGTGATAAAGTTAGAACTAGTGATTCGTTTGCAGTTCATGTAGTTCACAGTGTGAGCAAGGAGTCACATGACGAGAGAGTGCACTCTTTCCTGAGGGATTCACCCGACGCCATTGTACACTACGAGTTCGACACAATCAAAGGTCACAAAACAGCACAATATATTGATGATATATTACTTGATATGTTACATGATTCGGTTATGTATCGATCGCTTTTGACTAAAAATTTTGGGAAGCGATGGTGCGACGTTGCTCTGCAAGTAGCGAGAAAATGTAGATTCCCGAGTGAAATAAAGCTGAAATGTGGCGCTTTTGTTGCATATATTGTCAGTATAATAGCATGTAGTCTCAAATTCATTGGTGATTATTGTATTTTTTCTGCAAGCTCCAGTGGCACATGCCTGTACGGTAGTCGGCTTTAGTACTTGGTTGTCCGAGGTCTGAGTTTTCAATCCCGTAGAGGTCTTTTTATTTCAAAACACATTATAAATTTTTATTTCATCGCCTTTTTCCTTTTTTTGACCTGCTCAAAGCGACTTTAAGGCGGTTTTTTTTGCTTGCTTTTGCGAAGCGAAGCTGCTCTTCTCTGTTGTTTTATATTTTATTTTCAGCATTTTGAATTTTGTTTTTTGTTAGTTGTCCTTTGCAAAAATAGCAACCATCGTAGTGGACAATTCTTCGTTTTTCATTTGTTTTTTTTTTGTTATTTGAAAGTAAGTTTGCCAACCGCTATTAGATATCATATCAGTTTTTCCTTGATTTCCCCTTTTTTTGGCGTGACCGGTTTCTTTTCAAATCATATTGGCTTAGTTGTGTCTAATTTCGTCCTCTGATGCGTCTCATTTTGCGTAATTTTTATGCTCATATGTCTTTTTAAGTATCAATGATCGTAGACATTAAATAGGTCGTGTTAGTTTGTTTTTGATTTTTTTTTCAGGAAAATGTCTTGAAAATTTTTCGCGTTCAAATTTGATCTTTTCAAGTTCATTCAGATTTCGCTCTCGAATATTAAAATTTTCAATGGCGAAAAAAATTAAGGTATTTTTGCTGCAAAGAAGATATTTGGTTGTCAGAGTTCCCAGCCAAATAAAAAAAAAACGATCTATTGATCCATTTTTTCTTGGAGGGTTTGTTTTATGGAAAAAATGTGAATGCTTAAATTTTCTCTTATTGGGCTAAGAGTCATGAACGTAGTGAATACTCTCATGTAGGCCTTGTTTATTTTTTGTGTTTTTTTAGGAAAAAGAAAGTATGTTTACGCTGAAATTTGGTTTTTCGCAGTTTGACTTTTGATTTTTTTAAATATCACTTCATTTCCTTTGTTCAAAAGAAATCAAACTCCACTATCGAACAGCAAAAGTTCGAAGGTCACGAAAAACGAAATTGTATAGTATAAAGGTGACGAATTCTTCAGATTTCCCAGCGGAATAAAATTTTTACATATTGATCCATTTTTCTCTAGTTTACCATATATTTTTTTCTTTTGAAATTCGAAGTTCATTTTTAAAACAGATTTAAAGTGAAGTGTTTCTTTCCGCAAGTTAGAAATTTTTCAAAAATAGTGTCAAATTGTTTTCTGTATTTTTGAGTTTTTTGGCACTTTTCAATAATTGTGTTGGCTGTTTCTCAAGCTTAGGACAAATCGAGATGGTTGGAACATTCTGTTCTTAATAGACGGCCACCCTCGATGTTATACATAGCTGGTTAGTTAGTTCCAATATGGTGATTGGCACTTGGCTTTAAACCAAAATAGCCGGAAACTATGCAAAAAGAGAAACTGCTTAACAGTTTTTTCTTGACACATAATTTTTTTCGGAATACTTAACTGAAGCTCAAAGCCCTATTTCAAAAAGGGTTTCCTTGTGACATGTGATTCGATCCCATCTTGAAGGTTTTGGTCATTCTACAATGCGAGAAAAACATCCATTTTATCCTCACGATAGATTGTGATGGGAACAACAAATACATGCATAACACACCCTTTAAAACTTGTTTGTGTTTCAGAGAGTCATTGCACAGTTGTGTTTGAGTTCCCAGTCGAGGAGACCCCTCTGGACTTCGGGGTCTTTTTGAAGGAGGAGATATCCAAGGCTGTACTCTGTTCAAAGGCCAAAGGTAAATGTCTACGGCTAAAGGTCGCTTGTCAAGCATTCGTTGTATTCTTCGGGAGACTCTTGAGTATGGAAAGATTAGAGTTAAATTACGCTCAAGATAAATGTTAGCTATTCCTGGGGACCAGCTTACTTGCGAGCCGCATAGCATGCGGCTATTAGCGCAACTATAATTGATTTTGTTGTTTCTCATTGGCACCAAACGAGTAATTGTTTCAATTGTGCATGCTAAGCGACACGCATGCAAGTCGCTACACCCCGCTATTCCTATACCCTTGATATAGCGACTGACTGCATTACTAAGTCCATCAGAAAAGTATTGTTTCTGAAGAATAAAAACCAAAATACTAATATTTACGTAAGATGGTTGAGTTCACGAGGTGTTGTCGCGTATTCGGCTGAGGTAGTAGACAGAGACAGTTAGAAGAGCGAATGTTCGATTACTGCTTTGGGCGAAACGTGTTCGGGGTATTCTAACGACCGGTCTGTAATCCGTTCAATAGCTCCAATATTCTAGACCTTACAGTTGAACTTGATAATTAAAAGGGGCATATTCATGACTAGGTTCCAGAGGAGGGATTGTAAACAAGATCCGCCGTTTTCTCTAGATTTGTTTCAGTGGGTTTGTGTTTTTATTTGTGTTTCTTTCCTGCAGGGGTTCTTCGAGCGGTGGTATCAGATGGTAAGTTCGTGACGGAAGGAGTGAACGTAGACTACATTTCCCAGTTTTCGGATGTGTTTGACCTGAGCAAGCTGTACACGAACAGCATACACCACCTGCTCTGGCATTTCGGAATAGAGGCCGCCTATGCTGGAATCATTCGGGAGCTGGATTCTGTGTTTAGTGCTTATGGAATTGCAGTGGACAGAAGACATCTGTCGCTTGTTGGTAAGTTCTCGTCCATTTTCCTCGCCCGTAACGCACTGTATTAAATTGTGCAACGAGTAGTGCCTTAAGGTTTGAAGGTTAAACTTGAAGGAATTTAAGTGTTTAATCATGAAAAATGAGCTTGACAAGGAAAGGTAAAAACCAGCTTTTTTCAGCGAAGGTTACCAAAGCTCAAAGCAAAGCGGCTAATCTGTCCACGCATCAATGTAGAATAGATTTTGGTTGTTGGAAGGATCGCAAAGACCGGTATTTAATGCTAGAGAATCCGTGGCCTGTTTAATATTCTCGCCATTTAACCGAATTTACTTTAGATAAGTAGCAAAAATAAGCCTGTTGCTAAAAACAGATGAGCATTAGTACGCTTGTACGAGGCCAGGCCGTGGTCCTTAAAAGGCCAACTGAACAAATATGCGTCATCTTTTTTCTAAAAAAAGTTGCCACTTTCTAAGAAGTCGAAAGATTTAAATCGGGAGAGATCTTTAATACTAGGCATATGGTCGTTATAATGGTGAGCGTGTCAGAAGTTTGATTCAATTACTGAACTCGTTGTCGTTTTAGCCGACTATATGACCCAAAGTGGAAATATCGCAGGCTTCTCTCGAACTGAAGTGGCAAAGAATCCTTCACATCTGCAGCGAGCCAGTTTCGAATCGGCTTTCAGGTTTCTGAAAGAGGCGGCTATTTCTGGATACCCTGAAGATCTGACTTCACCTTCTGCGTGTATCTCTGTCGGCAAAGTCTCCAGTATTGGTTGGTGGAGTTTTCTAATTTCAAAATTTGGTAGCCATTGATGGTCTCTTAAATCAAGTAGGGTGAATTGTGCCGATTTTCGCAACATTTTGGCCAAATACATTAGGCCGAAGTGTTGACCTAAACGACAACAGACTGTTTTAAAAAGTATGGATTTGAAAAGTTAAAGGGTTGGTCAGCAAAAATGGTTGTTCTAAAATCAGATGAAAAGAGGGTTTCTCGAGGAGTGGGGGCATCTAGGAATCACTATCGAACCCCAATTTTGACCAAATACATTAGGCCGAAGTGTTGACCTAAACGACAACAGACTGTTTTAAAAAGTATGGATTTGAAAAGTTAAAGGGTTGGTCAGCAAAAATGGTTGTTCTAAAATCAGATGAAAAGAGGGTTTCTCGAGGAGTGGGGGCATCTAGGAATCACTATCAAACCCCAATTTTGACCAAATACATTAGGCCGAAGTGTTGACCTAAACGACAACAGACTGTTTTAAAAAGTATGGATTTGAAAAGTTAAAGGGTTGGTCAGCAAAAATGGTTGTTCTAAAATCAGATGAAAAGAGGGTTTCTCGAGGAGTGGGGGCATCTAGGAATCACTATCAAACCCCAATTTTGACCAAATACATTAGGCCGAAGTGTTGACCTAAACGACAACAGACTGTTTTAAAAAGTATGGATTTGAAAAGTTAAAGGGTTGGTCAGCAAAAATGGTTGTTCTAAAATCAGATGAAAAGAGGGTTTCTCGAGGAGTGGGGGCATCTAGGAATCGCTATTAAACCCCAATTTCTACCAAATACATTAGGCCGAAGTGTTGACCTAAACGACAACAGACTGTTTTAAAAAGTATGGATTTGAGAAGTTAAAGGGTTGGTCAGCAAAAATGGTTGTTCTAAAATCAGATGAAAAGAGGGTTTCTCGAGGAGTGGGGGCATCTAGGAATCACTATCAAACCCCAATTTTGACCAAATACATTAGGCCGAAGTGTTGACCTAAACGACAACAGACTGTTTTAAAAAGTATGGATTTGAAAAGTTAAAGGGTTGGTCAGCAAAAATGGTTGTTCTAAAATCAGATGAAAAGAGGGTTTCTCGAGGAGTGGGGGCATCTAGGAATCACTATCAAACCCCAATTTTGACCAAATACATTAGGCCGAAGTGTTGACCTAAACGACAACAGACTGTTTTAAAAAGTATGGATTTGAAAAGTTAAAGGGTTGGTCAGCAAAAATGGTTGTTCTAAAATCAGATGAAAAGAGGGTTTCTCGAGTAGTGGGGGCATCTAGGAATCACTATCAAACCCCAATTTTGACCAAATACATTAGGCCGAAGTGTTGACCTAAACGACAACAGACTGTTTTAAAAAGTATGGATTTGAAAAGTTAAAGGGTTGGTCAGCAAAAATGGTTGTTCTAAAATCAGATGAAAAGAGGGTTTCTCGAGGAGTGGGGGCATCTAGGAATCACTATCAAACCCCAATTATGACCAAATACATTAGGCCGAAGTCTTGACCTAAACGACAACAGACTGTTTTAAAAAGTATGGATTTGAAAAGTTAAAGGGTTGGTCAGCAAAAATGGTTGTTCTAAAATCAGATGAAAAGAGGGTTTCTCGAGGAGTAGGGGCATCTAGGAATCACTATCAAACCCCAATTTTGACCAAATACATTAGGCCGAAGTGTTGACCTAAACGACAACAGACTGTTTTAAAAAGTATGGATTTGAAAAGTTAAAGGGTTGGTCAGCAAAAATGGTTGTTCTAAAATCAGATGAAAAGAGGGTTTCTCGAGGAGTGGGGGCATCTAGGAATCACTATCAAACCCCAATTTTGACCAAATACATTAGGCCGAAGTGTTGACCTAAACGACAACAGACTGTTTTAAAAAGTATGGATTTGAAAAGTTAAAGGGTTGGTCAGCAAAAATGGTTGTTCTAAAATCAGATGAAAAGAGGGTTTCTCGAGGAGTGGGGGCATCTAGGAATCACTATCAAACCCCAATTTTGACCAAATACATTAGGCCGAAGTGTTGACCTAAACGACAACAGACTGTTTTAAAAAGTATGGATTTGAAAAGTTAAAGGGTTGGTCAGCAAAAATGGTTGTTCTAAAATCAGATGAAAAGAGGGTTTCTCGAGGAGTGGGGGCATCTAGGAATCACTATCAAACCCCAATTTTGACCAAATACATTAGGCCGAAGTGTTGACCTAAACGACAACAGACTGTTTTAAAAAGTATGGATTTGAGAAGTTAAAGGGTTGGTCAGCAAAAATGGTTGTTCTAAAATCAGATGAAAAGAGGGTTTCTCGAGGAGTGGGGGCATCTAGGAATCACTATCAAACCCCAATTTTGACCAAATACATTAGGCCGAAGTGTTGACCTAAACGACAACAGACTGTTTTAAAAAGTATGGATTTGAGAATTTAAAGGGTTGGTCAGCAAAAATGGTTGTTCTAAAATCAGATGAAAAGAGGGTTTCTCGAGGAGTGGGGGCATCTAGGAATCACTATCAAACCCCAATTTTGACCAAATAAATTAGGCCGAAGTGTTGACCTAAACGACAACAGACTGTTTTAAAAAGTATGGATTTGAAAAGTTAAAGGGTTGGTCAGCAAAAATGGTTGTTCTAAAATCAGATGAAAAGAGGGTTTCTCGAGGAGTGGGGGCATCTAGGAATCACTATCAAACCCCAATTTTGACCAAATACATTAGGCCGAAGTGTTGACCTAAACGACAACAGACTGTTTTAAAAAGTATGGATTTGAGAAGTTAAAGGGTTGGTCAGCAAAAATGGTTGTTCTAAAATCAGATGAAAAGAGGGTTTCTCGAGGAGTGGGGGCATCTAGGAATCACTATCAAACCCCAATTTTGACCAAATACATTAGGCCGAAGTGTTGACCTAAACGACAACAGACAGTTTTAAAAAGTATGGATTTGAGAAGTTAAAGGGTTGGTCAGCAAAAATGGTTGTTCTAAAATCAGATGAAAAGAGGGTTTCTCGAGGAGTGGGGGCATCTAGGAATCACTATCAAACCCCAATTTTGACCAAATACATTAGGCCGAAGTGTTGACCTAAACGACAACAGACTGTTTTAAAAAGTATGGATTTGAAAAGTTAAAGGGTTGGTCAGCAAAAATGGTTGTTCTAAAATCAGATGAAAAGAGGGTTTCTCGAGGAGTGGGGGCATCTAGGAATCACTATCAAACCCCAATTTTGACCAAATACATTAGGCCGAAGTGTTGACCTAAACGACAACAGACTGTTTTAAAAAGTATGGATTTGAGAAGTTAAAGGGTTGGTCAGCAAAAATGGTTGTTCTAAAATCAGATGAAAAGAGGGTTTCTCGAGGAGTGGGGGCATCTAAGAATCACTATCAAACCCCAATTTTGACCAAATACATTAGGCCGAAGTGTTGACCTAAACGACAACAGACTGTTTTAAAAAGTATGGATTTGAGAAGTTAAAGGGTTGGTCAGCAAAAATGGTTGTTCTAAAATCAGATGAAAAGAGGGTTTCTCGAGGAGTGGGGGCATCTAGGAATCACTATCAAACCCCAATTTTGACCAAATACATTAGGCCGAAGTGTTGACCTAAACGACAACAGACTGTTTTAAAAAGTATGGATTTGAAAAGTTAAAGGGTTGGTCAGCAAAATTGGTTGTTCTAAAATCAGATGAAAAGAGGGTTTCTCGAGGAGTGGGGGCATCTAGGAATCACTATCAAACCCCAATTTTGACCAAATACATTAGGCCGAAGTGTTGACCTAAACGACAACAGACTGTTTTAAAAAGTATGGATTTGAAAAGTTAAAGGGTTGGTCAGCAAAAATGGTTGTTCTAAAATCAGATGAAAAGAGGGTTTCTCGAGGAGTGGGGGCATCTAGAAATCACTATCAAACCCCAATTTTGACCAAATACATTAGGCCGAAGTGTTGACCTAAACGACAACAGACTGTTTTAAAAAGTATGGATTTGAAAAGTTAAAGGGTTGGTCAGCAAAAATGGTTGTTCTAAAATCAGATGAAAAGAGGGTTTCTCGAGGAGTGGGGGCATCTAGGAATCACTATCAAACCCCAATTTTGACCAAATACATTAGGCCGAAGTGTTGACCTAAACGACAACAGACTGTTTTAAAAAGTATGGATTTGAGAAGTTAAAGGGTTGGTCAGCAAAAATGGTTGTTCTAAAATCAGATGAAAAGAGGGTTTCTCGAGGAGTGGGGGCATCTAGGAATCGCTATTAAACCCCAATTTTGACCAAATACATTAGGCCGAAGTGTTGACCTAAACGACAACAGACTGTTTTAAAAAGTATGGATTTGAGAAGTTAAAGGGTTGGTCAGCAAAAATGGTTGTTCTAAAATCAGATGAAAACAGGGTTTCTCGAGGAGTGGGGGCATCTAGGAATCACTATCAAACCCCAATTTTGACCAATTACATTAGGCCGAAGTGTTGACCTAAACGACAACAGACTGTTTTAAAAAGTATGGATTTTAGCAGTTAAAGGGTTGGTCAGCAAAAATGGTTGTTCTAAAATCAGATGAAAAGAGGGTTTCTCGAGAAGTGGGGGCATCTAGGAATCGCTATTAAACCCCAATTTTGACCAAATACATTAGGCCGAAGTGTTGACCTAAACGACAACAGACTGTTTTAAAAAGTATGGATTTGAAAAGTTAAAGGGTTGGTCAGCAAAAATGGTTGTTCTTAAATCAGATGAAAAGAGGGTTTCTCGAGGAGTGGGGGCATCTAGGAATCACTATCAAACCCCAATTTTGACCAAATACATTAGGCCGAAGTGTTGACCTAAACGACAACAGACTGTTTTAAAAAGTATGGATTTGAGAAGTTAAAGGGTTGGTCAGCAAAAATGGTTGTTCTAAAATCAGATGAAAAGAGGGTTTCTCGAGGAGTGGGGGCATCTAGGAATCACTATCAAACCCCAATTTTGACCAAATACATTAGGCCGAAGTGTTGACCTAAACGACAACAGACTGTTTTAAAAAGTATGGATT